AATGAAATCCCAATTTATAAAAATCACAATGGGATTATTTTTTTAAATAGTCAAAGTGATTATAAAGGTTGGAAGAATAAAATTTGAGAATAAAAAAATTTAAAGCACTTTAGAGATATGTTTCATTAGAAATCAAAATAAATGATGAAGCTACAGTGATTAAAATAACACAGTACTTTCTTACAACTCAATGCTAAAAGACAACTCAATAAAAAATGGGCAGATGATTTAAAGATTATATATATATATATTGCCAATATGCATATGAAAATATATGCTCAACAACATTAGCCCTCTGAGAAACATGAATCAATATCATTAGGATGGCTAAAATAAAAAATAAAAGCAAAAAAACAGGCAGACAATAAGTGTTGGCAATGATGCGGAGAAATTAGAACACCCATACATTGATAGTGAGAATGTAAAATGGTGCAGCTGTTTTGGAAAACAATCTGGTAGTTTCTCAAAAAGGTTAAACNGGAGTGAGGATGAGCAAGGCAGGCACAAGGAAAGACGGTGACTTGGCCCCACAGCCCTGGCTGTCACCACCTTTCTCTGGACAATCTGGCCACAACCCCAGTCCACACCAATGTCCTTCCCAGTTCCAGGTCTTCTCAGAAGAAAATCTATTCTAAGCCTAACTTATTTCCCTCCTTTTGCAAACTCAGTCTCATCAATAGTGGAAAATCAGCAAAAGTTTAGTTCATCCTCTCATTTCTACCCTCCCATCTTGTTTTTTCTTATCGTGTTCTTCCATGGGACTTCCACCAAGCCCAGGTGTCTCCTTTGAGATGCGGCGACAGTGATAGGGACCTTGGCTTTGGAGTGTTAATCCCACCCCCACCAATTCTAGGCTTTGTGTCAGTAGGCTATTTGCACCCTACCTTCCCTTCCGGGGGACTTAAACTTCAGCTCTCAGATTAGACATCCTCTCCTCTGAGGAGATATACCTGTCCCTGAAGCTGAGTTGGAGACCTCCTGGGGACTCCACAGCACTCTGGTTCTCCCCAAGGGAATTTAATTCACTCGTGAAGCCCCAGTGTCTAGCAGAGTGCCTGGTACACAATAAATGTCAAAATACATGTTGAATGAATGAATGAATGAATGAATGAATGAATGAATGAATGAATACAGGGTGACTTTATATCGCTGACTCTCAGTAGTAACACCTGCCTAATAGAGATGCTATGGCTACTAAAAAAGGGGGAAACCATGAAAGTATTCACAGAGCCCAGACCATAGTAGGCCCTCAAAAAATTGTTAGTTTTCCTTCTGCTCCTTCCTATCAAAACAACCCCAAGAAGACAACTATTTCTCAGAGCTAACAGAGGACAGAGCTGGGACCACAGGGATGATACTACGTGAAGAGAGGTGTCAGGCTCAGATAAAGGATGATGTTTAGGTAAAGCCACCCATTCGTGGAACTTATGGTCTACGACAGAGCAGTGAGCAACTTGGAGAACTGTGCAGGTTGAGGGCATTCATATCAGGAAAGAGACTGAACAAGAGGACCTCTGTGGTGCTCTGCTGCACATGGCCGTAAATTCATGATTCCCGATGTTTTGGATGGTCACAGAGACCCAAAAAGGGGATGGGAGGAGGCACTTAACTGCCCTGGGGTTGGACATCTAGGGATCCCTGCTACCACCACTCCAGGTGCTGGAGACTTTCAGTTCCTATCTTCCTTTTAAGCTCTTTGGTTGCAAGGAGGAAATCTTCCTTCTCTGATGGCCTATGTTTCTGAGGCCCTAGTCCTCCATCTTCTTAGTTTTTGATGTCAGTGGGGCAATTGCCCAGCAGTGAATGGGGGCTGAGCAGTGAGGAGAAGAGCTATGTTTTCGTTAGGGGATTCAGTCTGTGATAGAACCACTTCTCCAGAAGAAGATGTGTTTATGGATCCTGGTGTGTGTCACTGAGTGTTTTAGTGAGCGTGTATATATGTTTTCACACCTAAAGGACTACGGTTCTTACTCCATACAGTGGGTTGAGGTGAACTGGACAGAGCATGACTCAAAATATGACCAGCTTACAGATTTATACTTTAGGTTAAGGTATTTCATTGCCTTCTTGAGATGCAAATCACCCTGTAGGAGTCTATGCTCATAAGTTTA